TTTTCTGTTGTCTGTCCCCCAGGGAGGAGGTCACATATAGATCCTTGTAATCGGTTCTCCCTCTCCACCCCACCCTCCCTCCACTCTCCTGGTATAGCCACCCTCACCACTGGTCCTGAAGGAATCATCCGCCCTGGATTCCCAGTTAAAAAAACATTTTTTTAAAAAAGGTTGTTACTAAATTTCTCCAGTTCCTGTATTTCTTTGTATTTTGGCAATGCAGAAATTAAGTTGTGGCAATTGTTACTTTGAAAACTTACGGCTTGCAAAATTGCTTAGTGAAATTGATGATACTAATTTGTGATTGGCTCTCTTGCCAGGAATTGGAGAATGGAGCTGGGAAGACATTTATACCTAGGCCTTTTAAAAATGTGAACTTTATTGATTCTTAGTAATTGAAACTTCTTTATGTATGATTCTTTCATAACCATATACAACCTGAAATGCATATTGGAATTTTGGGTGTTTTCCTGATGACACAGTTGCTAGTGAACTACCCCTTTACATGGCTTGTAAAATTGTGTAGCACATTTCAGTTTTCATGTCAACCTTCTCGAGTCTGCTCACATTACTGAACTTTAAACTACCATTGTTGTCCCTTGACTGAATCGTTACAATGATTTCTTAAAAATGTGTCTCTGCCCGTCTTTTTCCTCTTTATTCCATCCTTCATTGCACTACTCAAGCAATGTCGTAAAACAAGTCTGACAGCATCCTTCTGCTATTCTCATCCATCTCTAGCACCTTCTTGCCTGCCCAGTAGTAAAGCCTAGTTCTCCCTAGCCTGTTACTCTTTGAGTCATGGTTTTGGTTTGCCTTATTTTTGTCCCTCTCCAGTGCCATTGTTTATAGAAAGTTCCCAAGAATTCTGTATTCTGTACTCCTTCCCATCTGTTTACAGTGATTTCTTTAGGCCAGAGACGGCTCTCAGGTTTTTCTGCTTGGCATTCACTTGGCCATCCTTCAGAATCAGCACGCTATCATCTCCTCTGTAGGGCAGTTACCACCCTTCCCCAGAATCCTCTTTGCATTACTTCTGTACACTGTACAGTGTTGAATGGTTCTCTTGGTGTTATGGATTGAATTCTGACTCTCCAAAATGTGCATACTTGACTCGGCAGTTGTGCAATGATGTCAGTTGACCACTGTATGATGAGACTCCATAGTGTGATCTGATGTGATCAGCGGAAGGGGATATGGTAGGATATGATGTGAGGTGTGTAGCCTGCATCACCTTTTTTTTTTTAGTAAAGAGATTAAACAGAGAGAAAACCCCAGCTGTTAACCACTGAGAAAGAAAATTTGGGAGCAGAATATGTCCTTTGGTTCAGAGGTTTGCGTGCTAGGTACCTAGACCAGGAGACAGAGAGTAAGCCCCTCCTTTTAACTCTTCTGACCTTCCTGCTGCACTGTGAGAATAAATGTCGGTTCATTAAAGCCTTCCACGTGTGATATTTCTGTCCCAGCAGAACCAGGTAACAAAGACACAGGTATTGCTTGTGATTTTCAAGACTGCGCCTTAATTCAAGGTGGACTGCCTAGAATTCTCCCATTGTGCCTAAAAGTAGAGAGAAAATATATTGACCAGCACCATGTGGAACTTGAGTGGGGACGGATTTTGGAATGATGAAATTGCTTTCACGTGTTCTTTTTTATTGTAATATAGGAGATCTTTTTCAGGATAGGTAGACGGTGTCATTCTTTTTGATTAGTGGGTAGTTACGATACTGGCTGAATCAACACATGTTCAGGATCCACTTGGTGAGGTTTATTGATAACTCTGGGTGATACAAACCTCTGAAATTATGCTAATTTAGTTTTTATGTTGTAGGTAATAATGGTTTTAATTCAGAATATGGAATTAGATAGGTGAAGCTTAATTTACCTAAATAGTTAACTAGGCAAAGCTTCACAAATATTATTTACGTCTGCTCGCTCATTAAGACTTTTGTGACTTTAATTTTTTTTTTTTTAACTTTGACCGAATTTCTCCTCCATCCTTTTCTTTTTTTTTTTATTTAACATTTTATTAGGGGCTCATACAACTGTTATCCCAATCCATACACACATCAATTGTGTAAAGCGCATTTGTACATCGTTTCTCAAAACATTTTCTCTCCATTTAAACCCCCGACATTAGGTCCTCATTTTTCCCCTCCCTCCCCGCTCCCCCCTCCCGCATGAGCCCTTGATAGTTTATAAATGGGTATTTTGTCATATGTCTTTTGTGACTTTTATTTAGTACAGGAACAAAGGGGCAAAACTGGCAGGTCAAGCATTCTCATCATGGAGTTCCCGTGTTTGCTGGTACTCAGTTTTCTACTGTCAGTTGCGTCTATGGTATTAAAATGCTGGGTGACACCCCGTGCCTCATTCGTGGGCACTAATGGAAGTAGCTGATAACGTGAGGTGATGGAAACATTTTCTTTCTAAACACTTTTCAGTTTGCAGTTGATTTCTGTTACTCTAGGGGGCTGATCCTTCACAGCTGTTAGAAACCCTAAGTGGGTTTCCTCGCCTGCTGGGCAGATCTTTCTTTCTTTGGGAGCCTTTCATGGCACAACGGGGGCTTTTAAAAATGTCACAAATGCAATTCAGTCTGTACAGCAGTTAGTGCAGAGTTTTGTTTGTGTTGTTTATGGCAGAAAATTGAACATTAAAAAGCCAGTGGTGGAGGAAAGCGGCAGCCCTTGGCCTACTTATGGAAGTGGCCTTTTGAGTTTCAATAATGCCATCGCTTCTGGTCATCTAGACTGGCTCAGTTTTCCTGTCACATTTCTTCAACCCCAAGTTCTCGTCCTTAGTGACAAGTTGAAAGATAAAAGCTGAAAAGATTGATGAATCACAGGCAAGAAATAGCCTACATCCTGTCTTGATTAATGCTTAGGTTAGTACTCCAGGGGGAGGGATGTAATCAGCAATCACCTGGTAGAGTAGGCGATTGACTAACTAGCTGACTGCTTTGCTGTGGAGTGTGCACTTAGAGAAACATCTCACCAAGTCTTCTGAGGCCCCTTAGCTGTTGGCACCTTGCTGAGCAAGAGTAAGAGGGGAAAAAGCACCGTGACTGAAGATCATGTTGCGCCGTACCTTTTTGTTCTTGGTTGTGCTTTTGCTGCTTAACATGAAGATTGTGGCTGTCATAATGGAATACTAGCCTTAGCGGCAGATTGTGAGCCCAGAGCGTGTTACATGTCTTTCCAGATGTTCTCGCTCTGTCTGTAGGGCAGCCTTCTGGTTAGTTTCGTCACATACTGTAAGGATTCCGAATGTGAGGTTTATTTTAAATGTCCTGTGGTTGTTTACAGATAAAGAGAAGGAACAAGCACTGCCTTTTAAAACTTTGAAAGATGGCGTGTTTTCTGTAATATCAAATAAGTTACGCGGCAGCTCTAGTTTACAAATATCTTGCTGGCCGACAGCGTCTGGGTAGCCAGAGGAGAAGGTTGGGCTGGCTTGAAGTACCTCTCCTGAAATAAATAATCCAGTAGCATTCTTTCTCGACTTTGCAGCAGATATTTATGATCGACATTTCCCATCCGAAAAACTTTTGAAGCAGATGAGTTTCTTGTTAATTTGACAATTTAAGGCATTTTCTAATTGAACAAATTGTGATTATTCCTAATCATAACATCTGCAGGCTGTTGATTTATAAACACTGTAAAATGCTGTGTTTTCGTGCTATGCATAC